GGTCAAGAACGGAAGGGCGGTTAATCAAAGACAATCTTTTTGTACAAGTCCAAATTTTTAACAAACCCATCGCTCGTAAGAGAAAAGCTATGATAATAATGGCAACTCAAGAAGAATTCAATGAGCTTAGGAACCAGCTGGTTACCGTGACTGAGGTGTTAAAGGTTCTAACTCTCAAGATTGATGATCTGTGAAACAACAACAGATGGACCTCATGTAAGAGAGTCTTAGCAAGCTATCTAGCGACTATAAGTTTCAAGGGATTAGCTCACAAGGAACCTCGGTGGACAAGGATCTTCTTCCGCAAAAGTTTAATGCCAACGACATCCCGAAATTCAAAGCAACTGATAACCCTTACTTTCATTTAATAGCCTTCGAAAAAATAATGAGTATTAAGGGTATCGAAAGGAAAGTGTTTCCCTCTCTGTTCTCACTATCTCCCAAAAGCGTTTTCCAGGAATGGTTCTTTTCTCTCGAGAAATAAAAACCCTCCTCCTGGGAGTACATAGTAAGCGCTTTCGTTGATAGATACAAATGCAATATTTAAGTTGAGACCGACTATAGAGAACAGGAAATCCTCAAGCAGAAGGAGAATGAAGGCTTCACCTCTTTCTTTAACAAATGGAGAGAAACCTCAGCTAAGATGATTGAGGTTCGCAGTGAAAAAGAGTCCGTAAGGTTATTCATCAAAAACCTTCAAGAAAAGTACTCCAAGCATCTGAAATATTAGAATAATCTCCACACCTTCAAGGCCGTGTACGACATTGAAAGTAATATTGAACACGACCTGGATAAGTTGAAAGTTGCCAACAATAACTCCAACAGTGGCTGGAAAGGCAAGAAGAACGACAATCCTTCTTCTTCCAAAATCACCCACTCAAACAATGTTAGCACTTTTAACCTAAGTAAAGTACTTGCTATGAATAATCAAGGACAAAAGAAACCATTTAGGAGGAAATTTACTATTGGACCATTTAGGGACCCCCTAGTGGAGAAGAGGACGGCTAACTGGAACCCCAATGCACATTGCAAGTATCACCAAGGCAGGGGCCATCTTATCGAGAACTATTGGAAGCTTAAAGAATCTATCCAAGACTTAATCGACAACATATTGATTAGATCCACACAAGTATCTCTTTGAGAAATCTACACTCAATGGACGCATATCGAGATGGATAGTCAATTTAGCCCAGTTTGATGTAAGGTTTATGCCACAAAAAGCTATCAAAGGATCTGTGGTGTCAGACTTTCTAGCAGATTTTCCAATAGAAGACTCGACGCCAATACAAGACAATGAATTACCAGATGAAGACTTAATGATCACCGAAGATGATACTTGGATCTTGTACTTCGACGGATCCTCAAACCAAAATGGATGTGGTGTTGGAGTATTACTAGTATCACCTAAATAAGAGCATGTTCCAATCTCCATAAAACTTGATTTGTATATTACCAACAACGTTGCTGAATACGAAGCGTGCGTGGTAGGCCTCGAAACAGCTTTAGCATTGGGAGTAAAAAAGTTAAGGATATACGGAGACTCTTCATTAATCATCAATGAAATATCCAAAAGGTGGAAAGTAAGGATTGAAAGTCTAGCCCCTTACCAAACCTATATTGAAACTCTTACTGATCAGTTAGAGAAGGTAGAGTACACATACCTACCTACGGAAGAAAATCAGTTTGGTGATGCCTTGGCAAGACTAGCCTCAATGGTTAGGATTCCCACGGAAATCGAGCAAATGCCTCTAACTATAGAGAAAAGTCACAAACCAGCATACATCAAGGCTATAGAAGATGACGAAGTAGTCTAGGATGAAGAAGAAGAAGAAGAAGAAGAAGAAGAAGAAGAAGAAGAAGAAGAAGAAGAAGAAGAAGAAGAAGAAGAAGAAGAAGAAGAAGAAGAAGAAGAAGAAGAAGAAGAAGAAGAAGAAGAAGAAGAAGAAGAAGAAGAAGAAGAAGAAGAAGAAGAAGAAGAAGAAGAAGAAGAAGAAGAAGAAGAAAGAAGAAGAAGAAGAAGAAGAAGAAGAAGAAGAAGAAAGAAGAAGAAGAAGAAGAAGAAGAAGAAGAAGAAAGAAGAAGAAGAAGAAGAAGAAGAAGAAGAAGAAGAAGAAGAAGAAGAAGAAGAAGAAGAAGAAGAAGAAGAAGAAGAAGAAGAAGAAGAAGAATCGTGGTATACAGATATACTCAATTATGTCACCAAAGGAGAATACCCTCCCCATGCTGATAAAAGAGCAAAGCGAGCATTAAGACTCTTGGCTTCCCAATACGTACTCATAGACAACGATCTATACAAAAGGGTACCTAAAGGTCGAGCTCTCTTATGTGTAGGAAAAAAGGATGGCCAAAGATAAATGAGGATAGTCCACGAAGGAATTTGTAGAATTCACGTAAATGGCAAGATATTAGTCCAAAAGATAATGCGAGAAGGATAGTATTGGACTACAATGAATAGGGATTGCCATCAATACATAAAAAGATGCCCTAAGTGCCAAATCTACGCTAATTTACAACACGTTCCTCCATCTTTGCTCTACACCTACACGTCGCCATGGCCATTCTCTACATGGGGAATTGACATCATCGGCAAAATCACTCCCCTAGGCACGGGAGGTCACAAATATATCTTAGTTGCAATTGATTACTTCTTAAAGTGGGTCGAAGCACAATCATACGCTAAACTCACAGCAAAACATGTAGCACTCTTTATCGAAAAAATATTATTTGTCGATATGGATTCCCATATGAAATGATAAGTGACAATGGAACTCACTTTCAAGCTGAATGTGAAGAATTGCTACAGAAATATGGTATTCAACATCACCATTCTTCTCCTTATAGACTTCAGGAAAATGGAGCAGTTGAAGCAGCTAATAAAATTCTAAATACTATCATCGAGAAAATGACGGAAAATTACAAGGATTGGCCTGACAAACCTCACTTCGCATTGTGGGGTTATGGCACGTCAATTCGCACATCAATAGGAAGTACGCCATTTTCCTTGGTTTATGGAATGGATGTCGTACAACCTGTCGAGCTAGAGATTCCATCTCTACGTATCGCATTAGAGAGCAAACTCGAAGAAGCTGAATGGACTAGGGAAAGATATGAGGAGCTAATTCTACTTGATGAAAAACGACTAGAAGCTCTACATCACACTCAATGTTACCAAACTCGTATGGCTAGGCATTTTAATAAGAAGGTCAAGACAAGAAACATCAAAGTCGGAGACTTGGTGTTAAAAGCGTTACGGAAAAATATTTTAGATCCAAGGAGAAAATTCAGATCTAATTGGTATGGACCCTACATTGTCAAAACAATCCTGTCAGGAGGTGCAGCAAAATTCACTGACATGGATGGCAATGAGTTCTCGAACATGACAAATCTTGACCAACTTAAAAAGTACTACCCGTAATTACTTGAGTAGGACACTCAAGATATCTACGTTTGGCCTGATTCCTTAAGAAATGATATGTAGGCAACCCTTTACGGGTTCAGCCACTTTATTTTTTTTACAAATCTCGCATCCCAGACTTAACAAAAAATTAAACAGAAGATCGACGAAACATTGGTGTCATAGAAAAATTTCTGGCGCCAGCCGATGAACAATAGCAGCAGACGACAGCCTTCGTCACCTGACGCCAGACTGCCGCAGCTGGCGCCATTCGCAGAATAGTGGCGCCAATTTAATGTAAAATATTGGGGAATATTTTGGTGTTATTAGGAAAATTTTTCGACTTCCGTACTCGAAAAAATTTCTGAAAAATAATTTTTTCGGTTTTCGTTGTTTTATTTAAAGTAAATAATTAAATTAAAAAGCTGCATTTTCATTAATAAAATAAATAGCTATTTCACCAAATGCCACTGACAAATTTAAAAATTCATCAAACGCCATCGCACTTTTCCGAATTCACCAAATGCCACTCACAAACAGTAAAATGTCATGTCGTGCCATTAATGAGGTCTGGACGTTAAAAGTCCGTTACTAGGATTCTTAATTCACAAAATGCCATTTACAAATTAGTAATTTGCATGAAATTCCATTACTTTTGTAAATTATTTCACATTAACTCTCTAATCAAATGAGTACTAACGGCTAGTTTATTTGAACATTTTTGAAATATTGTTAGGGTAAAATAGCCGTTGCACCCTTTTTGTTGTATAAATATGAGACTTAGAACACGCATTGCATCCCTCTACATGCATAATCATAAGTTTGTTATTAAACACATCCTCCTCCACATACGAGTATGCATATGTAAGAGTTCCAAACAAGTTTTGCGGTTGTGGTCGGAAATACGCAATTAGAAGTTCGGAGTCAACATCAAATCCTCAAAGGCATTATTACAAGTGCGACTCGTGTAATAGTTTCAAATGGTTTAAAGTCCTCAAGCCGGAAGAAGCTCAAAGTAGGGGAAATTGTTATGATAGGGATGGATCGGGACATAGAGATGTATATGATGAATTGAAGCAATTGAAGAAGAAAGTGAGGCAGCAACAAAAATTTCTCAATTCTATTATGAAAGTAGGAGTTGTTATGTGTGTGATAGTTGTGATTGTAATGATGAAGTGAACAACAATGTAATTGCAATGAAAGTAAATAAATTGTTAATTTAAACATTTCTAGTATAATTATTCATGTTGCAATCATGTTCATCCAAAAAATTATGGCTACTATTTTCTGTTCATCTCAAAATAAAATGCCCTTGCTAACATAATTTAGAATTTTTCCCAAAAAAGAAAACACTTGAGTACAGCACACAGTGGAATATTAATGTTCAAAAATTAGGATTTCATTAACAAATATGATGTGCATTCAAAAGGGAAGGGTTGTGGAGTTTATGCAGCTTTCTTTGATCTCTTCTTGGTCTTTGAAGTGCTTGCTTCAGCCTCTGCATTGTTGTTGATTGCTGCAGTTGTTGCTTCAGGCAGATCAATGTTGTTGTTTGCTGCACTTGTTGCTTCAGCTGCTGCACTCTTTTTCTTTGCTGCACATGTCTTCATGTTGTGGCCCAATTCTTTGCATAGGCTGCACTTGACTGAACTATGTTTCTTTCCCTTTCTTGCTTCATTTGCCCCTCTTCTTCTTTGTTTCTTGGGTTGGCTGCTGACCTTTTCACTAAGGGTGGTAGTATGTCAGGGAGGTTGAATGAAGGCCACTGAGTTTGGTCAGGCATTGGGTGCATATGCTCTCCATAAGTGTTTTTGTATGCCTTCCCTTTGAAATAAGGTGATACAAAATGTGTAGCTTGCAGCCTTTGGTGGTAAATCACCTTGAGCACATGCTTAGATGGGATCCCTGAATGTTGCCACTTCCCACAACCACAAGTTCCAGCCACTAGTTTGATGGGATAGTACACATGTGCATCTCTCACCTCAAACTCATCACCCCCACATGGTGTAGCATAGCAGAACCTGGGCTCATCTGATCTTATTTGCAAGATCTTTGTTGTATACTTAGTGAGTTCCACATCCCCCATTGAAGTTGCTTTATCAAACCTTGGAGCCATCCTTTTCATGCACCATTGCCTTATAGCTGCAAAATTAAAACCAGTTACACACAGCTAGGTTGAAATGGCATTTGCAAAGTGATAAAACATGAGAAAATGCTTTGTTGCATACTCAGTAAGTTCCCCATCCCCCATTGAAGTTCCTTTATCAAACCTTGGAGCCATCCTTTTCATGCACCATTACCTTATAGCTTCAAAATTAAAACTAGTTACACACAGCTAGGTTGAAATGGCATTTGCAAAGTGATAAAACATGAGAAAATTCTTGTTGAACCTTCAAGAAGCTTTAACACAGGTAGATCTCTGTATGGCTTGGTGCAAGAGTTGAATGATTCAAAAAAATTTGTGGTGTTATGGTCACAACAGACAACTGGGTCAAACTTATGCCTTGACCAAACTTCAGTGGTATTCTCCAAATACAGAACAACATCTAGATTGTAGGCATGAATCTTCTCCATTGCTTTGTTGAAAACATATGGATTGTAACCATCAGCAGCAACCCAAAACAGTTTGTGAAATGTTGTTCCACTAAAGCCTTTTATTTTTGCAGTTGATGTACAAGTGTTGACAGCATATTCTTCTACTAGCTCTGGGAAATGTCTCCATAATTGCTGCATCAATTCCCTGCAAAACCATAGAACAAGTGAGTAAACAGTACTGTAAAGTAATAAAAAAAAAAAGAAAAAAAGTGTATGCTAAAGAGACTGATTTACCTTCATCCTGTCAGAAAGAAATGTCCAATCATCTCTGTTGCATCCCTTTTTCTCAAAGAGGCACTTTAAATTCCTCATAAAATAACCCCAAGTCTCACTCTCTGTACTGACTATGCCATAAACAAACATAAATATCTCATTGTTCCCATCAATTCCAACAGGTCTTAGCAGTATCCCTTTATAATATCCACTAAGACGGGCTCCATCAATGCCAATGATTGGCCTACAGCCTCTCAAAAAACCTCTAAGTTGTGCAGCAAAAGAAAAGAAGCATGCTTTGTACCTAGGTTAGAAATTTGCAGGTACTTGTGTCCATGTCACTAGTGCATAACTCCTTGGATTGGTCATCTTGACCATCTTAGCATATCTTGGAAGAAGACTATAAGCCTCTCCAAATCCACCATGAATGAGCTCCTCGGCAATTGCTTTCACCTTGTATAACAACCTTTTCTTCACTTGAATTATGTACCTTTCCATACAGATTCTTTGCACAAACTCAACTAGAATGTCTAGATTGGCTTGAATATCTTATTACAGATGTCTGCAAAGCTAATCATAGCCCACAATTGGATTTATCTCAAGCCTGCCACAAGTTGCATGCTCTCCTGTCAATGTCTTGATTGCCCAGCTCACTTTGTCAGTCATGCTTGATGCATGGATTCTCCAGTTGCAACCATCTATAACACATCTTGCTATAAACCTGGTAGGACAACTCTTTTCAACAAAAACTCCAAAACCTTCTTGTACACAAAAATCCTTAAACACTTCATAGAATGACTATTTGTCTGCAAATATCAACCATGGCTCCAGTTTAATGCTTCCAAACTCACAATCTCTCCAAACCTTGCCATTCTTGTATGTCTTATCCATTGCTTGGTTCCTATCAAGGTAATCTTCAAATTCTTTGGGTGGGATGTCATCATACAGGCATTGTACTTCTTCCTCATCTTCTATGTAGTCAGCAAGATCCAAATCATCATCATATTGTTCACTGCCAGATTGAATGTAATCAGAATCCTCACACTAGGCGAATAAAGCAATTGCCCACTGGTTCAAAACGCCTTTATGCCACCGGTTTTGAACTGGTGGCTTTTTGGGGGGTGTCAATAATATTTTAAAAAGCCACCGGTTCAAAACCGGTGGCAAAAACAAGAATTGCCACCGGTTAACCGGTGGCAATAATGCTTCCTGTTTTTTTTTTTTTATATTACATATAAATGCCACCGGTTAACCGGTGGCAATAACATACATGATTTTTTTTTATTAATTTTTTTTTGTTTGCTACAATTATAATAATAAAAATACTATTCAAAAAACCGTGTAAAATACCAGGCAAATAACTCACAATTCACAATCAATATAATAGGAGCGCAATATTTCATTATATTCAACAATAACAGTTACTGTACAATACAAAAAAAAAATTACAATGAATTATAATCAATAATGTAATTCTAACTTTAAATTATTATGGTACAATACAAAAAAAAATTACATCAAAAAAATTATTCCAAAATCAAAGTCTTGAATCTTGTTGCATCAATTAACACCTGCATCAATTAAAACCCAGAAATTAATAAACTAAAAAAAAAAAGCGTAATAAAACCCAGAAGATTTGCCTAACAAAACCCTGAATATCGCTTTACAAAAATAAAATCCAGAATATTCGCCTAATAAAAATCGCATAAAAATTTACTACAAAAAGGATGAAAACCAAAAAAAAAATCGCTTGTAGATCCGAAAAAACAACAAAAACTCCAAATCCGAAAAAAATTAATATGAAAAGCATGAAAACCCCAAAATAAATCAATTAAACCCAGAATTAAAATCGAATTAAACCCAAAATTAAAATCGAATTAAACCTAGAAGGAGATCGAAAAAAAACCTGAGAAAATTCTAAAATCGATTTAAATCGAATTAAACCCACCCACCACCATAACCACAACCACCACTACAACCCACGAATTCCACCAAAAACAACAAAAAACAAAATAAAATTAAGAAAAGAGAGAAATTACCTCGAATTTCACAAAAAACCCTCGAAATTATGTTGAATTTCGGTTATAAAGGCCAAAATCGACCATGAAAACTCTATATCTAGAGTTTTCATTGTCTATTTTGACCAGAAAACCTTTGGCGACAATAGAGTGGCAGCGGCGACAGTGGTCGAAAGAGGTGAAGAGGAGGGAGGGGGCGAGCGAAATGAGAGGAAGAGGAGAATGAAGGTGGAGCGAAGGGGACTAGAGAAGATCAGAACGAGATAAAATGAGGGACGAGAGAAGATAAGAACGAAGAAGATAATTAAGAAGATCAGAAGGAAGATAGAATGACGGAGAAGAGAATGAAGATCAGTAAGAATGAGGAGGAGGGAGGAGAGAGAAGCTAAAGAGGCTAGGGTTTGGTAAAGGGGGTTATATATACGGAGTAGGAAGGAATAAAAGGAGTGGGATAAATTAAAAAGGCCGGTTTTTTTTCAAAAAAAAAAAACAAAACCACCGGTTCAAAATCGGTGGCATAAATAATTGCCCCACCGGTTCAGTTTGAACCGGTGGCAATACTTTTCCCTCAAAATCCCGCCCGTTTTTTCCCCTTTTTTCCCCACCGGTTTTTAAAAACCGGTGGCCTTAGGGAGGTGCCAATCTTCTTTTTTTCACCTAGTTTCACTGTCATCATCATTAGAGCTCTCATCCTCACTACTTTCAACCCCAGATGGTGGCTTCTTGTGTCTTTCAGATCTCCTTAAGCTCAAACCTTCAACATTACTCCCCCCAGCAACCCTTTTTCCACATCTCTTTTTGGTTCTAAATCCTTGTGGCCTTGACCTACTAATTTTTTTAGGTTTCTCAGGCATAGTAGTAGCTGGTTCTGATGTTTGAGTGACATTAGTTTGAGCTGGAACTGATTCTGCCTGAGGAACTGGTTCTGATCTTGTTTGTGGTGGAGGTGACTCTGCTTGGTGAGCTGAAAGAGGTGGTGATGGTGGTTGTGGTCCAGATAAATGTGGTGCTTCAGGTTAATGAGGTGGTGAGTCAGTTTGAAAATTTTGGTTGTCAGTTTTTGGCGGTGAGGTGGTTTGAGCTGGTAGCTTTTTTTTGGGTGTTCTCTTCCTTTTCCTTGGGGTCATATTCTTCCTCACACATGAGGTTTTGGGTTGGTTGAGAGGAGAAGTTGGTTGACAGTGTTTAGGTGGGGTAGATGGTTTAGTATTTTGCTCAGGCTCAAGCTGAGATTGCCCAGGAAAAACCTCATCAGCTAATGGAGTCTCAAACACTCTGACATACTCATCCTCACCCCCATCCACATTAGCAACAGGAACCTCAACTGCAACTGTAAAAGGTTCCAGTTCCTCCAACTCTCTCTTACCCTAGGCCTTTTCAGCTTCTAACCTAGCCTTCTCAGCCATGGCCTTAATCCTTTTTTGCCAATTATCCTCACCATCCTTAAACACCAGACTAGGACTTTCTTGTTCCTCTAAATAGATTACTATTGTTTCCTTATGTCCAAACTACTTCCACATTTTTAGCATATCCCTATCACAACACAACTTCAACTTCCTATTAGTTCTAGGTGGCAGTATATACAAACTAAAGTACTTTGGAAGGATCATATTTCGCTTAACAGAGTCCTCAAACATAAACTCATACAAGTCCATTAAACTTGTTCTGTCAGTATCATCAACCAATACATCGAACCCCATATCTCTATAATGGACATCAAGCCACACTTTACTCATCCTATAAACAACAAATTACAGATACATTACTTTACTGAACATCAACACATATGATTCATATCAACACATATGATTCATATCAACAACCACATACCAAACCCTAACATACCAGTACAAAATTGCGAAATATGGAATTCAAAGACCTCACAATCACGAAACATAACAATGTCAAATCAATACCAACAAATAACAATTTTAACATGAAATTTAACAATAATTCACACAGTCAATTCAAGTAAAATTCAAGAGCTTTTTAAAAAAAACCCTAACCCTAACTCAATTTTCGCAAAAATTGCGAGATTCAAAACGCGAATGGAAAAGCGAAAGAGAGATTATTACCTTGACTGCTATGTCGAACACCCCAAACTAAAATTCAAGAGCTTTTTTCTTCTACTTCCTCCCCTACTTGTCACTTGTGTACTGGTTCGCGCAACTTCAATGAGTATTCACGCGCCATTAACCCCAAATAAGGGTATAATGGTCATTTCGCATTAACGGACTGTTAACGTCCAGACCTCATTAATGGCACGACATGACATTTTACTGTTTGTGAGTGGCATTTGGTGAATTCTGAAAAGTGCGATGGCATTTGATAAATTTTTAAATTTGTCAGTGGCATTTGGTGAAATAGCCGTAAAATAAATTACATTATTGATGGAATTTAAATAAATAAATTAACTTTTAATTTAAAAAACTATGTCTAATAATTGAAAATTAAGCAATGCTCTTAATCTTCTTTCTCTTTCTTAGCCCTTTTCCTATTCTTGTCTGCGTCTTCTTCCTCATCCATAACCTTAGCTAGTAGGCATCCTTTAGAGGACCTACATTAAATCTTAGAGTAAATAGTTTCTCCCTTAGCTAGCACCCCATGCTTCTTTTCCACCCAAGCCTCCTACTCTGTGGTGTCAGCTTTTCTTTTTCCTTTATCCTTCGCAGAACTTTTCTTCTTAGGCATCGTAGGTGCTTTAAACTCAACTCTTTCACCCAAGCGTTCCTTAATAGGAATCACCTTATCACCTAGACGACTCTTCACATCAGTTTTACTATGATTTTTCTTCACGTCCTTTGAAGGTTTCTTCATAAGCCACTTTTTCACATCATAAGGCAAGGAAGGAGGAACCTTTTGGGTAATCACTTCCCATAAAGGTCTAGCGCTCCAATAAGCATCAAATTTGTCTACTTCCTGAGAGACAGGGTACTCATAGGGACGACGAAGATCACCGGAAGGAATTGTTTGAAGTAGGCCTACTGTCTTTTTACCCAACTGCGGTAATAAAAGTCATTCAGTACAAGCTTGGAAGACGGCAGAAAGGTTGCTTGTTAACACCAACCATCTTTTCTATTTTCCACTAAGGGATGACCCACTTGATGGATAAATTATAAAACTCAAAGACCTTCTTCCATTTGTGGCGCCGCATCTTAGAGAAGCGTTTCTTCCTTCTCACGAAGCAATTTGGAGTATACTTCTCAATACTGTCTTGAGGGATAATTAATTCAAGTCTTTCCATTAGCCACATCTGTAAAAAAATTTAATGCAAATAAATTATTATTACCATACGAAAATATATTTTTTATTTCTACAATTAAAAATATTATTTTTCTACCTGAAAATAAAATTGGAGAGCCCCGAAAAGGTGCTTTTGGATTCTTCTTTAACTCATCAAGACTAAGCATAGTCTCTCCAACTATTAACGGCATTGGATTTCTCCCATATTCAATATACTCTAAAACAATAGATATAACTTCTTGACCCTCATTATTTTTACCACTAGTGAAAAAATATTGATTAAGCATGCAAAAGAGAAAAGCCCTTCATCTATAAACATGGAAAGATTCAGAATAAGGTCTATCAAAATAATGGTGAGCAAATTCTTTCAAATTAAGTATGCTACCAACTACTATTTTTGTTTGATCTTTGTCTTTTAAGTTGAAGAAGCATTCAAAATCCTTAGAATAATATTTGTTTATTCTAGGGATTACTACAACATCTAGTGCAGGGAAGCCTAAAATTGCACCGAATTCTTCCGGCAAAGGAAAAATTTCATCATACCCTAATCTACAGCAATGAGTATCTACATCCCAATATTATAGAGCGGTATGAATAAAATCTAAATCAAGATCTACCCCTTTGACACCA